TGCCCCCACTTAAAAATATTTTGACCCAGCTCCCCAGCAACAGCAGCCCTCAAGTATTATTGCTATTGCCGCCACATTTACCCTCGCACAACTTCTTCCTCCTCCTCCTCCTCCTCCTCCTTCATTGACCTACATTCAATTTCAGATAGAGAACTACAAGAACCGCAATCATGGCTTACGGCAAGGATGATGAGCTTGCCATCAATACAATCCGTCTGCTGGCCGTGAGTGGAGCCCCGCCATACCTCTAAGCTATTGCATCTGCCCATTGAACTCGAGACCGATTTACTGATGCGCTGGTGCTAATGGATTGTTTCTCACAAAGGTCGATGCCACCTTCAAAGCCAACTCCGGTCATCCCGGAGCCCCTATGGGCATGGCACCCGTTGCCCACGTCATGTTCAACAAGTTCATGAGCTTCAACCCCAAGAACCCAGACTGGGTCAATCGCGATCGTTTCATCCTGTCGTAAGTCGTGTCTCCTGCTGCAAGTTTCTCAACTTCGGGACAGGTGCCATACACCTTCGAATGGTAGACTACGCTTCGCTGGCATTAGCATGATAGGACATTACCAATGCCATTCTAACGTACTATTCTCGACAGGAACGGTCATGGATGCCTGCTCCAGTATGCTCTCTTACATCTCTTCGGCTACAAGGTGTCATTAGACGATCTGAAAGCCTTCCGAGTATGTCTCCTCCCTCTTCGTGTCTGTGGGTTCCTCAGTCGCAGCTGACTCAACTCTTCGATACAGTCCATAGACAGCATCACACCCGGTCATCCCGAAGCTCAAGATACACCGGGCATAGAAGTAACTACTGGTCCCCTCGGCCAGGGTTTTGCAAACGCCGTCGGTCTTGCGATTGCACAAGCCCACACAGCTGCCGAGTTCAACAAGCCGGGCTTCGAGCTGATCAACAACCATACCTTCGCATTCTTTGGAGATGGTTGTGCGATGGAGGGCATTGCTAGTGAAGCTGCCAGCACTGCTGGCCACTTGCAGCTCGGAAATCTTATCATGGTCTACGACGACAACCATATCTCAATTGGTAAGAATAAATGTTGTGGAGACTTTGCAGTGTGTAGACTAATCCTGTTAAGACGGCGATACCAAGTGCGCCTTTACTGAAGACGTCTTGCAGCGCTTTGAGGCGTACGGTTGGCACACGCAATGGGTGAAGGAGGGTGATACCGATCTGGAGGGCATCGAAGAAGCCATCCGAATGGCCAAAGAGGTCACCAACAAGCCTTCAGTCATCAAGTTGACCACAACCATTGGTTTCGGTTCTTTGTTGCAAGGTACTGGAGGAGTGCATGGCAATGCTCTGAAGGCCGATGATTGCAAGCAGGTGAAGAAGAAGTTCGGCTTTGATCCAGAGGACTCATTTGTCGTACCGCAGAAGGTCTACGATTTGTACCACAAGCATGCGGCTGAGGGAGCTGCGAAAGAACAGGAGTGGAACAAGATGTTCGAAAAGTATGGTCAAGAGCACAAGGCCGAGCACGACGATCTTGTGCGAAGACTGAGCGGCAAGCTCCCAGAGGGCTGGGAGAAAAAGCTACCTACGTATAAGCCGGGAGACAAGGAGCAAGCATCCCGGAAGCTGTCAGAAGCTGTCTTGGAAGCCATTCACGGCGCCATCCCTGACCTGATTGGAGGCTCCGCAGATCTGACAGGATCCAACAACACTCGATGGAAGGACGCCATTGATTTCCAACCACCAGTCCTCGGCATTGGTGATTGGGCAGGTCGTTACATCCGTTATGGTGTGCGTGAGCACTCCATGGCCGGTATCATGAACGGGATCGCTGCGTATGGCACCCTCATTCCCTTTGGGGGAACGTTTTTGAACTTCGTATCCTACGCCGCTGGATCCGTCCGCCTGTCTTCCCTTTCGCATTGCCGTGTCATCTACGTTGCAACCCACGACTCCATTGGTCTCGGTGAGGACGGTCCAACCCATCAGCCCATTGAGACTTTAGCTCACTTCCGTGCGCTGCCCAACATGATGGTCTGGCGTCCTGCCGACGGCAATGAGTGCAGCGCTGCCTATTATGTTGCATTGACCTCCAAATCAACCCCTAGTATCCTTGCTTTGACTCGTCAAAATCTACCTCAACTTGAGAACTCGACCCTACAGAACGCTATCAAAGGGGGCTATGTCTCCGTCGAGAATGAAAAGGCCGACATTACGCTCGTCAGCACAGGCTCGGAAGTCTGTCTCTGTATTGAAGCGGTCAAATATCTCAAAGATAACCACAACCTCACTGCCCGCGTGGTCTCCATTCCCTGCTGGGAGGTATTCGACACGCAATCCAAGGAGTACCGTCTGAAGTGTCTACCTGACGGAATTCCCTCCCTGAGCGTCGAGGTCATGTCGACCATGGGTTGGGAGCGGTATTCGAATGAGCAATTTGGTTTGAACCGATTCGGTGCCAGCGGTGCTTACAAGGATGTCTACAAGGTAAATTCGCTCAAAGCAATAGTCAATGGAGTAATCATCAACGCTAATGCATACACAGAAATTTGAATTCACTCCAGAGGGCATTAGCAAGCGTGCTGTGGCGACTGTCGACTTCTACAAGGGCACCAAAGTCCGCTCCCCCATCAATCGCGCATTCCAGCAGCTCATCTAGAAACTCTTCGTTTGCTTCATGATGCTTGCTGGCCATTTGAAACGGTAGATTATTATGAGTTTTACGTAGCTTATGCTTCCAGAGTTAGATAGATGCAAAGGAAAAAGTATCACACAGATCCATTTTAGGAATGAGGTTGTACTCTCTTTGCCCCGTTCTCTCCGAAAGACAAACCTTCCGCATACAACTGTATTCTATCACCATGATATTGAACCTTTTGCCTTTCTTTAGATAACTGCAAATTAAGGAAAACGGTTGGCCTTCGTAACCCAACTCTATTATTGTATAGACCTTTGTGTCCGAAAAGATGCCCCCAAATCTGCGTAAACCGTTAAGACGATTCTTCATAATTTCAAGGCCCATGAATTGTACACACGCGGTGTTCGTCCCCTCCAGCGCGCATTTCGCGTAATGTGACCATCGATCTCAGTCCATGTGATCGGTGTCGCATGCCGCTTACAAGCGATGGCAGCTAAACCATATCTAATGTCCTCCATAAGACAAAAGATCTTCGGTCCTAGTCGCCACAACAGTCTGCAGGTACTCAGAATTGTGCGAACCCTACGAGGTCATCATGGTGCGGATCCATTTATAGGTTCAGGCTCTGATAAAGAGTGAATATCATGAATTCCGCGGTTGCCGGAGTGTACTGAGGAACATGGTTCATTAAGGGCCAGGCTTCACCTATCTCTTCTCGAAGACGCTTGGATCGACAACGCAGACAACGACCAGACTGGTGACGATCAAAGCAAGAGCGACAAAGGTTACAAGGAAGACGCTGCCTCTGCTGGCGGGAAATTTGCCCCGTATGATCCAATACTAGATTTCCATGTTAGCATGCGTACACAGTCTTTGCCAGCCATATTCGCAGACATACCTGGCTCTCAAAGTACCTTCTCCCTCCGACAAGCAAGACTAAGATTGCGATTCCTAGAAAAGTAGCTCCCAATGGCTTGCCTACCTGGCGCAGATGGTATGTGTTGTCTGGATTGGTAGGAGTATAGCCTTCCCGCTCCGAGATGGTAGTATTGAGCCGGAAGAGTTGGGTTACAGCGATGCCGATGGAAGCGAAGGCAAGGGAGGTGCGAAGCCAGGCCAAGAAAGTACGTTCTGGGGAGTATAAGTCGGCGAAATGATACCAGGGAAGAATAAGAAATCAATGATCAGAGCAGCAAGAACGATAAGCAGAAATTAGAGAAGCTTTGGACACACCAAGAGCAAGGTGATCTCTGGCAACACTACCCTTATTTTCCAATTCCACACTCCCATATTTCTCGGCCAATTCTCTCCACCAACTTCCTCCACCCTTCCCCTCCTCGGCAATGAAGTCTCGTCCTTTCGACCCTGACCCCGACTGCCCTCCTTTCCTCCTCCTCGCGCTAGAGCTACTACTATGTCGAGATGTGCCCGGTTCACCCGATTCCGCAAGCTGCCCAGTAGACGTAGAATCGTAGTTCTTGTTCTTTGCCCCACCTCTCTCCCGGTTAACGATGGGGGTGATCTCGTCGGCTGAGCTCTCCGCTTGCTGCTGCTGCTGGTGGGCATTACTTCTTGGAGAGATGGAGCGAGACATTGGGGCAGTCGAGGTGGAGAATTGGACACTGCGAGATCTGGGAATGGCACTTGAGGGACCTTCGTCGGCTGCTGAAGAAGGTTTGAACTCGGGAGTTGGAGGACGAGAGCTCTTGGGAGATGAGTGGGATGAGAGAGTGGCCATCATAGGACAAAGGGAGGTGGAGGGCATATATATGAACATGTGACGCTCCCTCCTACCATGTAACTATTCCGAGAAATGTCCTTTAAACTAGCCTGTAAACTAGCCTTGGAAGTAGGTACCTAGCATCTTCAGACACTCGAAACACATCATATTCCATTAATGACAGCTTATCCATCTTTTAACTGTCAGGTGTGTTACTGATATTATGACTCGCATATCAACGTTTGTCTTGGGCTCGCCTTCAGCGGTGTGCCATCCATTTACTGCGCGAATTGGTGCCCGTCAGCTTCGTCCTTCTCCGCCTTCGTTATCTGCTCGTGGCTTCCAACAGTCCAGAGCTTTGCACTCATCACAGAGAAGCGCTCCATATCGTCAATGGTTGTGGCCTTCTCATAAAGCCTTGCCTCAAGGAACTCTATTCTGGATCCTGCTTAGCGGCGCTGGCATTTCTTACAGCATTTACGATGCTAAGCCATTAGTACTTGAAAGTGATGGGACGTTCGCACTGCTTGGTTCGGAGAAGGTCAAACAAAAGTACCTCTCTCCTACATCACCTCTTACAATTGAACAAGCAAACGAGATGTTACGACGGTGGGAAGACTCGCAAATGGTTGGATCTGGTAGTGGTGTCCTTCGCTGTGATACCATGCAGCTTCCCAGTAACTCGATATCAGAGGATGATTATCTCTCGGCTACAGGTCGTGAAGAAGGCGAAATCGAGTGGATGCTATTCGGTATTTATGACGGACACGCGTAAGATCTCCAAATTTGAGGCGAGGATCAGAACTGACACACCCAGTGGATGGGAAACAGCAGCGGCACTTCGTGGCTACCTTTTTACTTATATAGCTTACGAGCTGGAAGCCATCTCATCGACGGGTGCCCCGAGCGACGGTATGTAAATCTCGGTCTTCTTTCACCCTTACTGCAAAACATATTTCGTGGACTCTGGTGCCCTCTTCGTTCTTCTTGAAGCTGTCTCCAGGCTCAAGTCTGAACTTCCCAAACGCAGACGCTGACCCAAATTCCCATACCCAGCCGCTCCTCAGGATGTCGACCGGGCGATCGAGAAGGCCTTTCTCAAGCTTGACAAAGAAATCATGGATCAAGGTGCTACAGCAATTACTGGGCCAAGTTTTCTTAATGAGGCAATGTCTCGGCTAGGCCCGGCTTACTCTGGATCCTGTGCCCTAGTATCATACTATCATACCGAGTCGCAGATACTGAAAGTAGCGTGCACGGGTGACTCACGCGCCGTCCTCGGTCGACGTAATGCTGCAGGTGAATGGGAAGCAATAGCTCTCTCAAGCGACCAGGTAGGTGGTTTGATCTTTGAACGGAGAGAAGAATAACCAACTCCGAAAAAACTAGACAGGTCATAACAAGGATGAAGTTGCAAGACTGCATAAAGAACACCCAGACGAACCCAAGCTTGTGAAAGATGGAAGAGTTCTAGGTTTGATGGTATCGCGGGCTTTTGGGGATGGTAGATGGAAGTGGTCGCGTCAAGTGCAAGAGGAAGCACAGAGAAGGTTCTTCGGTCCGCCACTTAGGGAACCTCTCATTTCGCCACCTTATCTCACAGCGTTGCCGGTGGTGACTACCACCAAGATTGAACCGGAGAATGGAGACTTCCTTATCATGGCATCAGACGGGTTATGGGACCATCTCACAAGCGAGCAGGCGGTCGACTTAGTAAGCCAATGGCTCAAGACCCATGATGTTACAAAGGATGTTTCCCCTCCAGATCTGGCCCCCACACCCAACGCTATTCCTGCGCGTGAGATCTCGAGTCGACGCAACCCAAATCCAAACATGGCGTACACGTACGTATTTTCCGAGTTCATATTTCCTCTTCTGGACTAAATATTGAGCCTTGAGACATATCTTGGGAGTGTCTACTTTGTAGACATGTTTCAAGGCTCAACACACCATCTCGGATAGGCAATGCTGACGTTGAAATTACAATCTAGCGACATTCGAACCGCCGATGCAAAGCACTTCGTAATGAGAGACGAGAATGCGGCCACTCATCTAACTCGAAATGCATTAGGGGGAGGCAACGAGGACATGCTAGCTGGCCTGCTGACCGTCAGTCCTCCGTACTCGAGGAACGTGAGGTAAGGTACCTGAAATCTCAGCTATATACCTCTATGCTGACTCTCCTCTCTGATAGGGATGACATCACAGTGAATGTAATCTTTTTCGGAAAGGATGACACAACAATATAGAATCTTTGAAACCCGCGTCGAGTTATAAGCATTGGCAAGCAGCGAGCATGTGGTTCTGTATCAGAAACCAGTCATGCTGAGCTAGTACCATTTTGCCATGGAGACAGTGTGAACATGCGATGTTTCTGACTCTAGTCGAAAAGAATGGAAAGGCAACCTTCACACGCTTGAAGGGTAAAGTAGGACATCAGCAGCCAAAGCTCTCAAGAATGCGGCCTCGACCCTACGGCTACCAGCGACTTTTTTGAGCACTGTGATTACATTGTGGCCTGCTGCCCGAATCTGCGCAGTTGGATGCGACAGATGGACAGGCTCCTCAGTTCCTGCAGGTAAGCCTGGCATAGAAAACCTTGTACGCTCTGGATAGGCTCTATCAAGGCGCAAGGTCCCAACACCTTGATTGGGAAGAGGAGCGATTGGCTGTGCGTAGAAAACCGAGACAACTTCGTCCAGCGAGAGCAAGAAACAAAAGCAAGCAAGATTAAGTAATGGGCCAGCCGCGATAGAGGGTCGGCGCCACTTCAGCACTCTCTGGGAAGAATTTTACCACTTTTGGCAGCCAATGATGTGGAATCTTTTGCGATGGTTTCAAATGCTCGCTTCTGGGCAGTAGCGAATGCTCGTACAGGTACCTAGATTACTCGTAAGGGCAATTGTGCCAAGGACGGCATGAAGGATCAGAATGTTGGAGCGGTTCCACATGGCTATTGAATCCATGTTTCAACTGACGACTTTTAACCCGTAATCACCCCCACCAGCCCCTACCGGAGCCAAGGCATAATCTTAGCAATGGAAGAAGTTCAGCCGTTTCAGGGACCGAGGGGCCTTCCTTCGACTTTAAGTTTGGTGTTTTGCCGTCTGCCTGCCATGGTTCTGTATTTTCGGAGCAATCTGCTTCAATTCTTTGGGATCAAGTGGGTCGCCGTGAGCCTGGAGAGGAAGAGTTGGATTCTGCTCGCTGCCGCATCACGATTGAGTCTTACTTTAAGTAAGTAGAATTTGGGTGCCTGTACCTTAAAACGAGACAAGATTAAAGGGCGACGATCGCGCTTCTACTAACCACGTGGCACGTGCGACTTTCTTCTCACAAACCTTAAATGTTGCCGCCATCCCGTTCTGCGCCGGCCATTCCCCATGAAAAAGGGGAAAAAAAGTCGAACCCCTTGCTCCTGCATGCTCGTGCAAGATTCTACCATACATGTAGTTTGTGAGACTGTGATGGTAGACTGATCGTGGGTGTCCAAGGCACAAAGTGCTCTGAGGTGATGCCCCTAGGTAAATGATTGAATGATACTGTTGTTGGGGGTATTTAGTTCGTATTAGGTTCGATTCCTAATGGCGCTGGTACAATGGTGTTGCGGTGCTTTTTATTTTCTGATACGAGTACCTATTTTCGTGCCAGCAATCCTTGCCCGAGCTATCCGAATTACGATAATAGGAGAAGCTGACTCCCCCTTCCCACGGTACTTTCCAGCAGCAATGTTAAATAAATGTGGTGAAACTGCCCAGCCTCAGATATTACCCTACTTTACTTTATCGTTGCGGCGTCTTTTCTCCCAGCTTACTTGCTATCTATCACATTATCCCCTATTATTATAACAATCCAACATGCATCTTATTATTACAATGTCACAGCGCCCCTCGTTGTCTTTGTTTCATGATTCTGACGGCCATTTGCGCTATGATACGATACCTACCAGCCTAACTACATGTGCCTTGATAATGCCACTTTGACTCCTCTAGGCGATTGTTTAATTTGACCTTTGGCTTCCTGAACGAGATAGAATAAGTACCTCGTACTTTAAGCAAGCAAGTCCCTATTAGCGTCCTCGTTCCTAAGTCTCTTCTCAAGGTAAGGTAGTCCTAATCTCCTGACTACCTATCACAAACCACCTTCCACCCTCATTTTCTTTCTCCTCCCTTCTTCACCAATCCTCCTCACATTCCTTTACCAACACTCTTTATTTGCGTTACAGAGTCCGAGACTCTTGCGTGCCAGTCACTACATTCACTCACTCTTTTACATTGCTTATCTGCCTCTGCCATTCTCTCCCAGCACATTGCTTCCACCAACACTCGCTTCCTGAACATCCACTGCTTGCTCAAGACAAGCCCGCGTCATGCGTCTCTCTACCATTGGCCAAATGGCCTTTCTACTCGTTCATTCGCCCCTCGTTCACAGCCGCCTCGGCCCCACGATCTGCACTCCAGCTCCGGGAAGTACCGTGACTCCTGCCTTTGTCAAACAGGTCATCGTTGGCCTTGCACCCCTCATGTACGCACGAGTGGATCCTATCGTCTCCCCCAATAAGGCCTCAGCCCATGTGCACTTGGGCATGGGTGGCTCCAATTGGAATGCCTCGATGGAGGCCGACACCGCCCTCGACTCGTCGTGCACATCGACACAGGCCAAAGCGGACAACAGTGTCTATTGGACTCCAAGGTTGAGTTTTAGATCCCCCCAGAACGGTAGCTACATCTCCGTGCCTGCTACTCAAGAAAAGGTCTACTACAGGTAAGATCACTACATCGCCAGCCCGCCACTCCTCGCTGACCCTCCAGCTCTTCTATGCCAACTTCCGACAAGATCGTAGCCTTCCCACCAGGCTTTCAAATGCTTATTGGCGATCCTTACAAGCGCAGCCAGCCGGATGCCACCCCGCTGGAGGGCGGAGGAATCTATCTCGGAAGAGACTCTGGCCAGGGCATCCCCCAACCAGTCCAGTTCACGTGTCCCACGGCGGACGGTTCCAATCCATATGCGAAGCAAAATCCATATGGTAATTCCGGCTTGGGCTTCCCTATGGCCAATTGCGACGCATCTGGGACAGGCCTGCGGTACGACGTTTACTTCGCCGATTGCTGGGACGGTAAAAGCCTCACGCAAGACCTCACAGCACCCACGTCTGGGAGAAATTACTCGAGCACTGCCGGCACCAAAAACGGTGAACAGAATTGCCCGGCAGGCTGGACGCATTTCCCAGCAATGCACATGGAAGTCTATTGGGACATTGACAGCTTCAAGACAAGCGGTGTCTGGAATCCTGCTAGTGACGCCTGGCCCTTCGAATTGGCGCAAGGCGATCCTTTGGGTTTCGGTCTCCACGGAGATTACGTGAGTTATCATAGTAGCGGTTCTATAACCTTTCTATAACCAAAGGCTGACGAAGTCCAGTTTGCCGGTTGGGGAAAGGACACTCTGCAAACCCTCATTGACGAATGTTATACATGTGATGGTGACAACGAGGTCGATGCGTGCTTGGATCCCTCCGTTATCAACACCCCCGACGAGATGAATGCATGCAACGTGCCGTCCCCTGTGGACGAGCCCATCTGGGGCTGGTTGGAAAATCAGCCAGGATGCAACAAGCGTCAGTCAGGCCCTCAGGAGGCGGTACAGGCAACTTGTGAAGAAGCTGGTTTAAGCGCGCCGACTACTCAACACACCGATGTCCCTGGATGGACTTACCAAGGCTGCTACTTGGATTATGTCAACTTTGAACACCTGTTGACTGGTACATCTGCTTCGCTCCCGAACCCTGTCACACCGGAGTGGTGCGCAGGTTTTTGCAGTGGCACTGGAACCGCGGATAACGCGCAGAAAGCGCAGACGACAAAGTACCAGTGGATGTCGCTAGAGTACTCCTCCCAATGTTTCTGCGGCAATGACCCGCAACTGTTGAAAACCCCATCTAACATCGCCGCCAATGGGCTTGAGCAAGGCATGTGCAACTCGGTCTGCACAGCCGACCAGACCCAGATCTGCGGTGGATCCAACGGCCAGGCGTCGTTCTACAGCATCGATGGCGCTGATACCTCATCATCCAAAAAGGAGAAGAGGGTTTCGCACTTGCACCGCCACGCCCACGCCCACGCTCACGACAGCTCCTTCTAGATTATAATCTACATTGAGCTCTGTAAGGGAGACCTTCCTCGGTCGAGCAGATACCTTGAAATGTACATTATCACTACTCAGCACATGTTTCACTTCTTCGAGGGTCCGATGGATTATACCCTATCAGACTTCGCATCTTCGTTTGGTACGGCATCGGTTCCCATGGCCTCAACCAGCTGTATGTTGGAATTCATTCAAGGCACTAACTTGGACTATGACGGAGCATACGAGTTGGAAAGCATAGAGAAATCAAAGCCTTCGCTCCATGTACATATTACATTCTAACCAATAGCCTTGAATTCATGATCGAGTGCGCAACCCGCAGCCAAGCATTTTGAACTTTCTCGGTATGAGTACTAGGCCGGTCCCGACCTCTGCCGACTCGTGAAACAATGTCATGATGGCCCTCGGGCCTAGATCTGTAAGTATAAGTGACGACGCGTATCAGCTTTTCCGCTCTTCTGCGTGCTCTAGCTGCAGCGCCTTTGAGCGCGTCAGACAGGTAGAAGACGAAAGCAACCATGGATGTAGTTTGCATGGAGTCTTTCTCTACCCAAGACCTCCAACATGCGTGTTCAAAGCGGTGCAATCTTGTGTGAAAATAGCTATCCCTGGACATTTCTCACTAATCGATCTTTAGAATTCAGTGGTAATTGATGTGGCACAGCATATCTCACCAATCTCACCAATGGTGCCCGAATCTTTCCTTTGCAGTGCCCAAATTCGATGTACAGATAAGCAAGTCTTAGGGTCACCGCCGCCTCTTCTTTGTTTCTTTTTTACCTAGAAATGGAGTTAGTATGGTCAGTCCAAGCGACTTCCTGATTGACCACTTTCGAACCCGTCCGTCTCAACATTGGCGGTAGATTGCCATAATCGCATTGTAAGGCTTTGGAATGTTTCATATCGTTTAAAGCACCAGGTGTCGACAGAAGTCTGAAACCCGAGGTTTACCCGGCTACTGCGCGCTTCCCCACCAAAACAAATAATCATATTCTTGAATCTATACGGTAAAGACTATACCACATTATGGAAGCACCTCATACTCCTACACGTAATCCTCCTCTAGCCAATCACGAAGCTACCACTCGTCGTAAGGCCAAATTCTTTGAAGCCTTTGACTCCCGAGCCCCCGATCGACTACTTAAAGACGTATGTTATGACAAAGAAATCGAATACAGTACAGGCAAATCATGGCTACGAAGGCGATAAACGTATTAAATCATCATTATGGTGATATTGTGGTGGAATATGTACATTAGATTCTCAGCTTTCTCAGTAGCCGGGTAAACCCCGGGTTTCAGACTTCTGTCGATACCTGGTGAAGTACCTGCGGGATTCCGTTCATGCATGATGACGTTGTTTACTCACACTCATCTGGCACACTCGCAGAAAATCAAAAGCACCGCAACACCATTGTACCAGCGCCATTAGGAATCGAACCTAATAGAGTACAAACTGAATATCTCCGCCAAACACTCGCCTCATTTCTATTAATTCCAAATTACATGTAATTGATGGGTATACAGTTACGGTATCGCCACGTCATTTGCATTATCCTCTCTACTTAAGTCCGAAGGTCGGCACCCCACTACAACATAAACCCGAGGGTCCCGCCCCGCCGTGACCCGCGGAGATAGTCTCACCAATCACACAAATCCTCAGCTTTGAAGCCTTCATTCAACCAATTCTCTTATTATTAGACCCTCCTCTAAAGCGCCACGGTTCACAGTCATCTCTCTGAGGCTATTTTCCCCGCTCAAGATGTCTTTGTCTTCTTCATCCCCGTCGTCCCATGGCAAAACAATCATATGGGAAGAAGCTTTACCAGTACGCTCATCATCAGAATCCCATGCATCGACCATAGAACCACCTACCCTCTCGACCACGGAAAGCCATCCGGGTCCGAGAGCCCGCTCAAGCACAAGTCCTGATGGTCGTTTGTCTGCCTCGTTCTCCACCAGGCTGAGTGCCCGTAAAACTCAAACCCCTCCGCTTCACCTCGATCTCCTCTCGGCTGCTGTAAGAGTGTCACGTTCTCCGGGAACACTGCCTACTCTCGCAGAGTCCCCATCAAGAAAACCCTCAGCGCCTATTGATATACCTGCGAGGAAAAAAGCGGAAGGTCAGGTTTCACGCCCAACCACGCCCTTGACAGCACGGGCACCGCAAGGAGAGTACTTTACATCTTGGCACAAAACTGAACCTCGAATTAGCGAGTCCTTGACCCCATATTACTCTTCGCGCGCAAAGAAAACTTCCGCAAGTCGAGACCCTTCAGCTGCGCAGAGGGGCTTTGCAGCAATGAGTCCGAGGTCGGAATCATCCCAGTGCAGACCCTCTTCTCCCCTCTCCCCCAAAATGTCTGTCCCCTTACCTTCGATCAACAGCAGCCAGAAAGCTAGGGCGCCAGCGCAAGGCTACAATGTGGCTGGGCTCCCCAAATACCACCCAGCAAACTTTCCGTCAAGAGACCACAGTCCGGCTCCTCCCTCACCTCTAAGCTCACGCTCAGTCACCTTGCAGCCACGTTCTGGCCGTGGTTCGGATGCCAAACAACAGCTTCTACAATATCGGCGAGACCTGATCAACAATACAGCCAAAACCTCTCGCTCTCTACTCTCGTCAAGCGTCAGCTCCAAGCCAAGCCCCCCACGACTTAATCCTCTCAGGAGTCCTGGTGGACTGATGACACCACTCATGTTAGAAGGTGCTGGGGATTACTTCGGAACTAGTTCCTTGCCTGCCGGATTCAAGGAGGGAGACGGGAGAGAGATTGTGGAGCGTCAGGTTCAACGGAAAAACGAGAGGTGGAAAGATCCAGAGGCAAGATCAGGAAGCGTCAGTCCGGCCCTGAGCCTTAGCCCCACTGTGAGTCCAGCTGGCGGGCGAGGGTGATTCCGAATACTTGGTCTCTCATCCAGGAAGAAACGCCTTGTTCGAGCCATTGAAAGCGAGCTCATGGCTAATTTATCTCCTACCAACCCTCATTACTCCGACGACTGGCACGATTTTGATGTCTATCGTACCAGTTCTAGTACTTCGACTTCAAGATATCTTCATGAATGTTACACAGGGAACAGCAGGACTGCCACCTAGATGCACGAAACGGGATATGAGCAACGAGCATCGGCATAGGCGTTCTGCATCACACTCGAATTTCAGATCTTATTGGCGCCCTTCGGTATCGGTACTGGCTTTACGCATAACCTCTCATAGACATACGTCATGTCGTCAGCGTCTTCGTCTCCTTTTGACCCCGATAATTCAATATGGATGACCTGGCCGTGATCGAGGTCGGGAATTGTCCACCAGGTTACTGGCCATAACAGTTCGGAACAGCACAGCACCGTACGCTCAGGACCTCATTTTACGAGTCTGCCGAACATGGCAGCAACATAAGTGATGGCGGTTCGTGAATCTAAATTCCTTTTTGCATCATCACAGGCGTTCGGTCTCTATAGATTACCAGATACCATTGTCTCCGCCCATAGGGCGTCGAGCTCTTGCACGATTCGTTTATCTAGATAGACAGAGAATGAATCCATCCCCCTCTGCCTGAGCCTTTCAACGAAACCCGGCTTCTGCTAAGAACTGGTCTCCTTGTGAAAGAAGTGTGGTGGGGCAGTCAAGAGATCACACACGGCCCTTGCCTCGGGCCTCTTGCCTCGGGCCTCTTGCCAGTGGTGAGTAACCAGGAGCGCCGACGTTTCTATGATTATGCCAAATTGAAGCAGCACCGTAGAGGAAGACTCTAGCAACATTGGTGAGTCATGCTGTACCATTACCATCACTTCCGGTATCATTATAAAGCGACACCAATCAAAGTTCCACAAGAACCTTTCGTTAAATGATGATCATAGTATCCATGAAAGCCTGCATTGCTTTGACCACGAACGTTGCAAATAGCATCTAGACATAAGAGTTCACTGTAACTGCGGGTGCAGATATCGCTTCGACCAGGCATGGTTCCGGTCGCCAGCTTTGTCTGGAAGCAGTCAGAGCTTCCAGGAGAGAGGAAATGTATGGTTCTATTTTGCGTGGTTCCAGGTGTGGCGTAATGATGACTTCAGCAGCATCAGTGAGGAAATTTCTTGTTCCTTGACATCCTTCCTGAACCATTCATAAGCATGACCAGCTTTATGGAGGGTAGGGATGGGGGCACTGATGCTCAAAATCGGCATGGAAATAATAGGTTCAGCGTCGTCACTCTCTGACAGCTTGCCCGCTTCTCCAAGTCACGTCAGCTCATCTGTCCGACATGAGATTCAAAGCCGACGATGGAATCATTATCAAGTGTGTGGCGCTGACTTAACTTGACTGTACTTTTTTAGGATACATCGATCATGTCTCGTGCGTCGCTTTGTCAATCTGTTTCTCAATACTTGGGCCTTTCCTCACGTATACCATGCCAACAGGATCATCCTTACCCTTCAGGATTTCCCACGCTCCAATTCCCAAAGCCTTCGGTCCCCTTTTGATACCACGTCCTCCCCCACCAATTATCAGATTACCGGGCCGGTACCGCCCATCGGCCTCCATCCTCCGTATCGCAGAGTGATGGATCCATGCATTTTCAGGCATATCCCTGACTTCGGCCCTGGGCAAGGGTATAGATATCGCTTTCCAAGATCCATCAGGTCTGAGGTCCATTCTGCGGAATGGAAACCACTCCATCATCTTCCATGACAAGACAGACTCTACTCTCAGACCGTTGCTGAACTCAAGACAATCGTGAAGCACACCTTTGGTCGCAGCTCGGAAAAGCGTCTGCTGGAATTCGGATTCCTGTGAGGTCTCTGGCTCCATCCCAGCCGCCCCTACGCACAGTCTCGGAGTCAGCATTGCTTCCTTTGCGCAAGAAGCCTGACTAATGACAAAGGTCTGGGGAACAAAAGGAGATCTTGCTCCTTTGATATGTCTTACGACTCAGACTTCGGGACAAGATAGGAAAAACTCCGAGACACACCTCCATCCAGATTCTTGCTTTTCGGATTTTGGACTTGAGAACGGGATGTTGTCCAGGCTGATATGAGTCAATTGAAGTCGATGTTATAATGGAAACCCCATCTGACGCGGCGTTGCGCGAAATAGCAGGGCCCGTGGATGGCAGGCGGCCATGTGAGCTCCCTCGTGGATCAAGGTAGCCCTCTTCTACAGCGCTCAGACGAGGCGACATAGCTTTGTTGAGTTCGACAGTCGAGCTAAACTGCGATCGCCTGCGAAACCGGCCTGCACCCAACTGACTTGCATTTGACCCGTTGCTCATCAAGTTTTCTCTTGCCCCCGTTTTCTGTCCATGGGTCTCTCTATGATGCTCCTCGCGCTCGGGGGTTTTGGGGGTTTTTGCCCCGGATATCAAATCTGATCGGAACTTTGCCCGCCGTTCGTCAATACTAACCGCGTGACGGATCACTCTAGCCGAGCTTCTGGCGGTGTACGGGAATTTGCTCCGCTGCATCCATGCATTCTCGAATCTCGGGACACTGTTGACTGGGCACAGATTCAGCTAGAGCCCTCATGCCTGATAAATAGGCGAGCGGAGTTACCAGTGTGAAAGAGGCCAAGAAAGCGAATACGTCGGACTGGACGACTGAAAATCTCACAGAAAGCCAGTAAGAAATCAAACATCTCCTTTTTCTTCTTCTCTTCCACCGTGTTCTCCTCCCTCTGCTGCCACCGAGCAAAAGCCTTCCGTGCAAATCAAATCATCTCTTCGTTACCAGCGCTGAGTAGGCCCACGTGGTCAAGCATCTCCGCAAGAAAGCGTGCCACGCAGGCACCCCTACTGGAACCGAAAAAGAAGATGTCATCGTCTTCATAGCACTATTGACGACTTCGGAGTCAGCGTTTCCTGTTCAAGAAAGCGTTTCGAGTTTTGGGACGTGTCCTCACAGTATGGACTTCCAAGACGTTTCTCAAATCTCAAAGATTGGACTGAAGTAGGGAATAATAACTCCGGACACACGTACGTACCTGCATCAAGAACTTATAGGCGACCTGAGAAGCTTTTGGCTGTATGGCCTCAGTCTGTTTGAAAGGGTGACCTTACCATGACATGTAAGTCAAAAGCCGTGCCAACAGCAGAGTCTTTGGCTTTCTGATACCATGAGTTGAATCGGGCCAGGCGACTTGTATGTGAAATTGATAGTGTGTTGACATATGTTCCGATTCCCGGCTAAAAAGAATCAGACCACGTAGGCAGACAACGGAGGATGGAATACCTGATAATAGTGCTTGTCGCCGTTCGTACGGTCTAGCATCCCATATATCTTCAGAATATTACTATCTGCGGAAGTGCCCGGTGCGGAGTCAATCTTGTTCTCTTTTTCTCATCGAAGGACTCGTCCCACCCGAAAATTTATTCCCGGTGCCATCGAAGCAGAGTATTATCTGACGTACGTTCAGTCGCTGGAGGAGACGTGAGAGCCGTTATGAGTACCCTTTTCCTTTGCCGATATGGGCCATACGACTGAACAGCAGCGGCATTGGAGCCCGTCCCCCGTTGTACACCACTCGTGCTGCCTCTTTAAAACTGCATTTTTGCAGGATTACTTGATTCAAGAATAGGTCTTCAGCAGGCAAAACAAGACCTTCAACAACTGGTGATCCCGCAACAAGGGCAGAGGAAAATTAGATGCCCTACCTGGCTCGCAGTTGTTGGGGTGCGAGTCGCAATGATTACAAGGAGCAGATTTCCCTTGGCTCCGCCGCTCTGTATAAGCTAGATCTACGTAATGACAGCGGAAAGATTCGGCCTGATAGCCCTAACTTGGGTCGTCATGGTGCATTACCGTTCAAACCGTTGGAGGCTAAGGAAACACGGTAATGCGATTGGAACTAGTCGCCATCTCGTCGTGTTCTACCTGCGGACTGTCAACTTAGAGACGTGTGTGGCGTTGCATAGCGGAGATGAGGGGGCAAACGAAAGACATTGTTGCGGACGAAATGGTAGGACATTTGGCCGGAGCACATAGATGGCGATTGGATGGAGAAGCTCGGCAGGGAAAAGGTGGAGAGTGGTGGATGCGAATAGGCCAACTTGATGCTTGATTGAGTGGATCTAGATGGGTTGGGATGCAGGACAGCGGTCAATTCGGGCAAGAGTCCAGAAGGTGAAAAGGGCAAGCTCATTCTGCACATTCCCGTAGAGTCGGTTGATGTTGAGTGCTATAGTCATCTACTTCTCGTGCGGAGATACTCGTGGAAGTTCGAAGTCAACGGAAAGATGTACGACATAGCGGTTTTGGATCGAAAAGATTTAACCAAAGGCCAAGCTCTGTCCTTTGATGGAACTTCTTCATCTTCGTCTGGCTCGTCCCTTCAATTCGGGTAGGGAGCGTTTTGATAGGTTTTGGGAAGATGCGGTACCCACCGCGTGTCGGCTGGATGATTGTTCTTGAACAGAATGTTGCTTAGCTAGGGTCTGGTGACATTACGAGCTACCTAAGTCATTTCCTTCCAATAGGGAGATGCTCGTGTGGGGTCAAAGTCGTCGCTCAAAGTCATAGTCTTGATATATACTTCCAATCCTCCATAGAAGAGACGTAGTTTTAACAGCACTCGCATAGATTAGTGGGCTTTGAATCGAAAACTTACGAGTATTCAAATCCCGAGCTTTTGTTTCCAATGAAACTTGTCCATTTTCCTTTAGACTCGTCACCCAAATGCATGTATGGAGGCGCGACATGGATTTTGAGTAGCTGCGGTATGAGTACACTACCTTTACGAGAGCACGCCGGCTCGATAGCATACTTTAAGGTAGGTTACTTTTGTCTGCGTACCCTCAAGCGCCGCCCCTGGTTCAGCAGCAGAATTATCCCTGTATTCCCCGGCAAGTCTAAGGCATCATCTTGGCACTCCCGAGGCGGATTTATGTACTCGGTATTGCCCGCTCCCTGGTAATGCACGGTCTCAAGTCCGGTGACTCCGGGGCCGAGCTTTGGGGGATACCATCCCAAAACTTCACCCCGAGCCCACCCCCGCTCCGTCACGCGGCGTAGGGCTTCTCGAATTCAGGGCAGACTTTATTACGCTAAGGTATTATATTACTTTGCTAGGTACGGTACTCGTACCTACTACCTAAAGTACCTTATCACGCGGGTGACAGAAAAGCCTGGACACTAACCTGAATTAAGCTAGGAGATCAAGGGCCGTCCCACCCACAATTTCACACCCAAATTTCCCCCTCTTACCTTAGCGGAGGGCTATGAGTTGCGGTAACCGTACCTATACTAAATTAGTGAAAATTATCGCCTTTTAGCGGTTACTTAGTCATATAACCGTGATACTAAAAAATTTTAAATACGTTATATATTTTTAATAGTGCTTTTCGTAGAACGATAGTAGATCAATTTCTCTAAAAAAGCGTATTAATTTTTAATACGATGAATCTAGAAATCTAATATATTACGATAGTAATTATAAATTAGTAGAATAATGATATTTATATAAATTATCTTATTTAGTTAAATAGAATCTTCTTTAACTTAAGTAAATTTAGTTAAGTAATAAAAAATTATAGAGTAAGATAGTTTCGTAGTTCGAATCAACGAATATATCTCTTATTTAAAATTAATTAATTTTATAAATATCTTAATTCTTAGTAGATCTTAATTATTATTATAGGGTTCTTAGTTTTTTATTCTTTTCGAAATAGTTTTTGATTTTGTAACGGTTTCTTAGTTCTATAACGGTGTCGTAACGGTGTCGCAACGGTGTCACAACGGTTTTAATCTATAAAACGTATTAAAAATATTACAGTCGTTTTAACTCGATACGATTTTTTATTAATACGTACTAAGATATATAATCGTTAATTATTTAGTTCGTTTTTTATTCTTTATCGTCTAAAGGCGGAGGTGGCCTACTAACACGTCTTAATAAAATAATCGTATATTTATCGTATATATATAGTAAAAGAAGGCCGCTGCTACTCGCTAAGGTAGTTCATAAATGAGTGTATAATTAGTATGCCTGAAAGGATCGTAGGCTATTCTAGACGGTGATGGACGAAGGACAGGCTATTAATGGAGAAACATGGTATTTATGCATAGAAATTTGGTGGGGGAAGGCCGTAATCTCCATTTGGTTAGTGTCTAGGCTTTTCTGTCACCCGCGTGCTTATCAATTGCTGGCTACTTCCGTGCCAAGAAGATGATCCCAACCGTGAGAATAATCCGAAGAATCCGAAAAGTCCGAATGATCACGCCACTTGCAGCCGTTCAATTTATGTAATGTAAAGTAGAGGTATTGACTATACTTATTAAACACAATCAATAATAAACATCTTACACTCTCATACCTTCGTTTTTTTCCCACCTTGTACTTGACCTTGGAACTATGGGATTGACTCTGGTCGCACGCTTCAATTCACCACCATAATGGAAATTGTTGTTCCTCCACTTTGTCAGTCCAATTTGCCACTACTAAGTGGGATACAAAGCATTAGATTGCTTTCATGCACTTTATATCACCTCTGCGCCTGAGCCGACAGGAGCCGAGAAGCAGCTATTCATCTCAATCAGACCAAACATAAGGCACTGCAGCACGTCAGCGGTCGTGGAATTTCTGCCAATCCATTTGCTTTGTTGGCCGCCTCCCGAAGGCATGGACAGGGCCAAAATTGAGGTACCGTATGCAGCCTCAAATTCCCCAGACAACGATTGGGACCGTTGGATGGACTGGGACCCAGCATCCCATTCCGACCTAGCATCCACTGCATCTATGCAATTATCTGCAGACGCCCATGATCCGCAGCGTTCTTCAATTGAGACGAACGAGTCACGAAACCTTAATCCTGTTATAGAGGAAGCTGATGCATCCCCTCGACCTGCCAAAAAGCGTAAAGCATCCACAGAAAGCGGCGACTCGGCCACACGCCCAGGCATCCAGGACGGGAAACCAACGTCTGTTCAGAACAAAAGCCATAGCATCGTTGAGAAGCGCTACCGTACCAACCTCAACGACAAGATTGCTGATTTACGCAAAAGTATTCCAAGTCTTCGGGACGCTGCCTTTACTTCAACTGAGACGGAAAGGCTTGCAGCATATCCCAAACACAACAAATCCACCATTCTGACCAAAGCAATCGAGTATATCCACCATCTCGAACAGCGAAACGCTTACTTGGAGAACGTCAATGCTGGCCTTAGGAGCCAGGCGCGCTATGCTAAGTCAGAAGTCGCTCAAGGCCGAGATACGGTCAGTGTAGAATTGTCAAAGCCTCCATACGCAGGGCCAGAGGACTCGCCATCTACGACCCAAGATTCTCCCATCACAACTGATGCTCCACGAGGCATGATCCCCGTGCCAGATGATATCAGAAAATTGCAGAACACTGCGCCTCAGGAGCACTATGCCGACCGAGTTTCTTCTAACGACCAGCAGCCTGGAGCACACTTCTCAATCAGAGGCGGGAAACTTATTGGGAAGCTCATGGTGGGATCCTTGGCTGGGCTC